CTTTATAATGTGTGCTGTGGGGATTTTGGAGGACATTGAACACCATTACTGACTAAATATTTTGTAGACAAATGTTGCTATGAGTGAGCTGGACATTGCATACTTAGAAAACTCACTGAGTGACTCACATTTATAGGAATGAATTTCTAGGATGGATTTCAGTATGTGTAACAAGAAAAAGTACCATTATATTTTAATTTATCTTAACTTTTAGAACATGATAATGTTATTGCTTTGTTGAGGTATATTCTATGAAACCTTTTGAACAAACATGCAAGATGGAAGTGTAAGAGAAAAAAAATCTTTAACATCAAATGATTTCATTTGTTCTCCACAGAATTCTTAAATCAAGGAGCAGTGGCCATCTTTGAAATGTTAAGAGTATGTTGTAGGTATTCTCACAAAATGGCTGCCCTGATGACTTTTTATATTCATTAAATGGGACTTATGGAAGACTCATGTACTAAGAAAATAACAGCTGAGAAGATTCCCTGCCATCTCTTTTAAGTCTTCAAAATGATCACTAAATTCAGTGTGATTTTTGTCTTCCAGATATAGCAGTAGATTGCAGCCACTATAATTTTTATTTTCTAAGTGTGTCTATGATGGCTCTATATGTCCTGTAAGAATTCTTGGAAATAAAGATATTAGAGATTGGCACCTTGCTTTATTTTATATCAATTTTATGCTTTTTTAGAAATTTAAATTAACAAGAAGCTTATATCTGTGCTATATTCTTCTCCCGTCACCTGCCAACAAATGAAAGGGCAAGAGTTGTTCCCATCCATGTAACTATAGACCAATCAACTGAACATTGATACTGGAAAAGTTCTGGAACAGGTTATTAAGAAGTCAGTTTGCGAATATTTAGAAAGAATACATTACATGACAGGAGCCCATCTGAGTTTATCAAAAACAAACTCATCATTTTTTGATAGAGTTGACCATAGGAATATAATGTGATGCAATTGTATCACCCCTCCTACCCCCTTTCCACAAAAATATTTCTGGGTATTTTGTCATAAATCTAATCAGAATTGTCAAACATTCTGGCAGTTCCAATTATCACAGGAATCCTATAATTTAACATGGATATAACATAGCCATAATATTTTCATTAGAGGAAAGTAGTATTCTGACCCACAAGTGCACTTCAATCTATATTTATAATAGATAAAAGTCAAAATGTTACTGATTCTTAAAAAAAATAACTGTTGGACAGTAACTAGGACATAGTGAAGCTTTAATAGCATGTTGTTTTATTAACTGTTGTTACTATGGTTTGTTGCTAAGATATTAGTTCTGTTACTTTTAGTTTCAGTGCTGTATTTATAGTATTTCAATACTCTTTCTGCTGGGGAAAAAGCTTCTTCTTTTTTGCAGCAAATTACAGCAGTTAACTTCTATCTGTTTTCTGTTTTTGTTCTTCCACCTAACTTTGTCATTATGTAGTATAGCTGTAAAAAGTTGCATAATTTAGCTTCCATTGAATTCAAGGTTCCAAATATAGAGTTCCCCATACATTTTTGCATTGTGAACATAAAACAGTATCTTGATCTTAACAACTGCTGCATCATGTACTTCCAGGTCATCTACTGAATAGTTCATAGACAAAATCAAAGTTTATGGCCTATCTATCATAAATAATCTGCTCATAATTTAGCAAACCTTAATACTTGTACATTCTATTAATGAGAAAGAACTACATAATAAGACCCCCTGGTTATGACAATGTATTTTTCTAAAAAGTTCTAAATATTTAGTTCTAAAAACTAAAAAGTTCCTAATAGTGGCATTAATAAGAAAGGGAGAAGTAATCAAGCTTTAAAACTGCAATCTGTACTGAATGGGCTGTATGTAAGCTTCTTTGTTTACAATGGAAGTTTACTTTAAATGAAAGTTATATATTATGCCTTAGATTTCTAGAAGTTTATAGCTTTGAATTAGTATATGAAACAGAATTGCTAAATGCATAATTATATGTGAGTACATGCATACGTATATACGCAAAGATCTGACTAGTCTAGGCTTCCAAAAAAGAGCAAAAAAGGTTCAGCAGAATCTGTTCATTACCTAGTAGAGTAAGGGAGAACCTGGTGTGGTGTGATAGAAAAAGGGTCATATCCTTTGTGGTGTACCACATTCAATTAATATGGCAAGCTTTGTGATCCTGTCAGTTCTCAGTGAGGGTGGAACCAATGTTTGTTTTCCCACTCCTCTTTTTTTTTCAAATTTTCAGAGGGTATTGCACTACAAAAGAATAATGGATTTCCGTCCAAGAGGACTGCGTGGTCTGATAAAGTAAAATCTACAACAGAAAATAACTTGTTTTTTTCCCACCCATTAGGCTATAATTTCACTTAAGAAAGAAAGTGTAATAAATTTTGGCGGGAAAAATAACCAAACTATTTTGGACATTTCTAATGACCAGCCTGTATAAACACTACTGAGAAATGGGGGTGAGAACAATTTGACCAAGGGAATGATTATTTTTCTTGCATTGTAACCTAGGTATTTGTCAGGTCAACTCATTTAGAATCGTCCTAAGCTCAGTGAAAGAAGGAAGCAGACTCACAGAAAGAGAAACCTTTTAAAGGTCTTCAGGTCTCCTATAATTAAGCTCTATATTAATAGGAAAAAACAGTATTTACAGAACATTATCTACTGAAAATGTCACTTCAGTTAAATTTTCCCCTATTTTCCCCTATGTTGTGAATGAATAAAGTAAATAAGCCCAAATGCAAAGTAGGTTTTGGAAGCCTGCACATTTGATTGGTCCTTGAACAGCGAACAAGGATTGGTTCATAAAAGCCCCTGATTGGCCAAACTTAGGACACTTCCTATTGGTTATTGGTTTGGACCTTATGCACTTATTATTGGTTAATAGGGTAGCAGCCAACCCTATAAAAGGGTTACTGCTGCCCATAGCCTTGCTCTGTTCTGTTCTATTTACTGTTAATAAAGAGTTGAAGTCACTGGTCAGATGTCTGGTCTCCATTACTCTCCAAACATAACACCCTACATATGCTAAATAGGATAAAATTTATAGCTGTGGTTCTGGAATTAAGATCTGCTCAGTCCCCATTGAAGTGGCTTCTTCATTTGAGGGCAGGATGAGTTAATCCTTGTAATTAAAATGAAATTAATTTTTTAACCCAAATCTAATGTCCTTCATTTTTCACATTGTGCATATGTCCCCAATTTATCCTCTTAAATTCCTTGGCAAGTGAAAACTAGGAAAGCTGTGACTAGGAAAACTAGAGATATACTTAGGTTTATTATAATAAAAATGCAGAGAAGGCTTAAGTTTTTGAGAAAAAAATATATCCTAATGGAGAGTTATAGTTCTAATCATATTCTTCCAAAATCCCTTTCCATACATTTCCTCATTTATGGGCCTCGCTGTTAGATCTCTGGAGACTCTATATTGCCATGTCAACTAAAGAAGTACCGTTTCCATCTTTATTACATTCTATAAAAATAAAATTTTCTCAATAAGCCTTTCTGTAGTTAAAAATAAAACAAACATTTGGATGGTCAAAAAAAACCAACCCAAAAACTAAAACCAACTGTATACAGGAAGATGCTTGTTATTCTACTAATATTGCTTCCTTTCCGAGTTAGCAATTCAGGGGATGTGAGTTGGGGAAGATTTAGGGATTTCTCACTCCATTTCTGTCTTGTTCTTACTAAGAGACATTCCCTACTGCCTCAAAATATGTGACTCATGATTCATAATGATTCAGGTCAACTAAACTCTCTGCTAATGCCAATAAAACATTGCTTGAAACTTTTATAATTGAGCACAATTATATGTGCTTAATTATATGTGCTTAAATGTTCATTCTGGTTTTCAATCTATTCATGAAACAGCAGTAAGGTGGCTTGTTTTGAGAAAAGTGTGATTTTTCCTTCCTCATTAAAATGCTAATTAATACCAATAAGTTGCTGATATAGACACTCATACAAATAGAGGACTCTGGGACATTTTCCCTTCCATCCAACACCTTATGAACATAGCAAGCATGTATTAATTAAAAAAAAGGTCTTGTTTCATTCCTTATCCATTACATGCCTTGGAGGACAAGTTAAATCCTGATCATATACTCCTGAGGAAAATCTCAACTTTCCTACAAGAATATTTCCAGAGCATTTCTGCTTCAGATTTTAAGTCAATTTTCTCCAATCCGTAATCATCCAGATGTATCGAGCAATTCCGCCTATCAGAGACAGCAGCAGTAGTGTTGCCTGAGAGTTTGGGCATTGCAGTCCAACATATTTAGGGAAGATCTTTTAAACAAGTTATCTCAGTTAAGTCCTCCTATACCTTTCTCTATGCTTGTCTACATCTCCTGTTTAGGGATCTGAACTACCATAAAGTATTTCCTTGGGTTATGCATTCCTGGAAACTTCTTTCTAAAAGAGAACAGCTGATTAGCCTGATGATATATTACATTAATTCAAAAGTAAGTCTGGGAATTTAATTCTAGGTCACCCATACAGTAATGGTTATTTGTAAGCTTCAAGTTTGGACCGATGCATTAAATAGAAAAAACAGCATACACAACCAGCTTGACACTCAGTTTTACTCTTTACTCAGGGTTATATTAGTGTTTATCAACAATGCTTAAAATAAATCTATTTTGGCAATTTTAATGGCAGCTGTTCCAAACCCAGACTCTGCCAGAACTGCTAAACACTCCTCTCCTGCTTTTGTGCTTCTGCTGTTGCATGCAGTTTCTATGATTTATAAAAGCCACATTTACAAAACAGGACAGTGATTACTTTGTGCTGGTAACTTGAACTGAAACAAATTCTCCAATAAAGTTGCTCAATAGGAGCAGCAAGATGTTAAACCATTTACAATTTCAGATTGTGTTAAAATCGAAAAAGATAATCATGCGAAAATGCACTACTAAGAGCTTCTGAAAAGTGCAAACATGCATTTTCTTAAAGATGTATGAGTCAAAAATATATTTAAAAGTTTGAGTGACACTTACCTCGCACGAAGCACTGTTGGTAAGAAGGAAATGACTCAAATATGCTGTTTGAAGCCATGGTTTCCTCTTTAAAAACTTATTCTCTCTTTTATAAGAGACTGGTATATGATTTCCTTCACCTTAGGAAGTAAAAAATCAAGAATGGCCATTATAAGCAACTTCTTGTCTGTCAATGCACTTTGCATCTTTTTGTCTGCAAAGCACATAAATTCAGTTTCTTTCACACAAACCCTGAAACTGTTTTGTAAGAAAAAAAAAAGAGTCAGAGAAAGAAAGGGAGAAAGAAATAGCAGATCACTTGTGGTTTCATGATGCTTACCACTCTATGAAACTCTTGTGGTTTGCAGTCAAAATGATTCGCCCTGCCTGCTGACCAATATCCCGGACCCACTGTTGTGTGACTGCCTCTGTACCCAACTTGTGGTTCTGTGGTTGTTTATGAGGCCCAAAGAAGTGTTTCACACAACCAATATTACAAATTTAACTGTTCCCCTTTCCAGAGCCTGCTGCAATTGGTCTTTGAAAATCACATGGTTTCAATGATGTCAACCTAACACAGACACACACAATATTCTGAGCCACACACTTCCCACACCACCTGCCCTCCCTTAGATTCAGAGGAGACAGAAAGAGACTGTGCCTGACTCACAGCGCTAGCTCCACAAATGTTCTTTGCTGATTAAGGACAACTCTGCCTTGTTGCTTGTGGTTTCTGGAACTACTAGTTATTTTCATAGATATTTTATTGCTGCTTATTCAATAGTAATTTAAGCCTTGCTATTAGTCTTTTGCTGAAAGAGGATGTTTAGGGCATCCTCTAACTTGAGGATCACTTTTCGAAAAAGCTAAGCAGGTGAGGAACAGTTTTTTTCTTTCCGCAGTGCAAAATCAAAAGAAGATAAAGTAGATTGTTCAAGTGCACCTTTATAAAAAGAGTTTAAAAACAAATGAATCTTGATAAATCAAAGACTGGCATAGCCTTGAAATGTTAATTTGTAAGCAGTACTGTAATCATATATGCACACGTATCTTTGGACGCTTAAGTGCCAAATAAATATGTTATTTATTATAATCAATCTCACTACACTGTGCTTTTTATTGGGCCAGATCAAATATTAAGTGAGCCCTCTATAACCTGGCAGAATTTATTTTCATCTTATTCAGAAGAAGATACCGATCAAAGAATTTGGTTTTCTAATACAAATCTTTCTTGTGGTAGTTTATGCCACTCTCTGTGGTTTGAACACCAATTACAAATAGTAAAGAAGAAAAGGCACCATTAATAAACAAAGAAGTGATTGTCATGCCATCTTTTAACTTATTTAATCATTATTCTGTATGCCCTTTCACTAATTCAGTATGAAATCTAAAAGATTTCCCTTACTCTTGTGAATATTTTAGCCGATTTAACATTTGCCAAATACAGTCACAATCTGTGAATGTCAAAATATTGCTCATTTGAGATTTAGTTCCAGATGAGCATGCTGTCTCCGGTTTAAAAGAAAGGGGATTGTTAATCTAGGGTTACCATAGAAGATAGGCTGCAAAAATTGAGTTATCCACTGGAGTCACATTTTGCATGTTTGGCATCCATATGAGTTGATTAAATAAATAAATAAAAATAAATCCATCTTTCTTTGCTGCCATCTAGCAATCACCCATTTTTTTTCCAACCAGATGTGGTAGCCCTATAATTTTTCTTATGGGACTTTCTGATTGTGTCTCCAGAAAAGACATCAGCTGATCAAAAAGATGCAGTCATTGAAATGTTTCTCAAGGTTATTTCACTTTTATGTATTGGTCTTCCAGCACTGAATGCCTTTACCTAGTACTGAGCTCCACAACAGATAATTATATTTCCACCTCATCTTTTGTTCTGCTTAATATTCTCTTTGTTTGAGCTGCTGCTGCTGCTGCTTGAAAACCATGGATTGGTTGTTGTTTCAAGGAAATACAATATCAGTACTGAAAGTTCCTCATCTGATTGGCCAAGGATTTCATAGTCTCTATAACAATCAAGTACCTGTATTATTTTAGGTGGCTCAGCATATGATGCAGGTTATAATTATTATTTTTCTTTTCCATTCAAGGAAAGAGAAATGGGCATGTGGTGTGTGTGTGTGTAAAAACACAAATTAAGTTCCCTATGAACAGATCAGTATAATTAAGGGTATTTTGGATCTAAATCAGAGTATGGTTTCTATATACTATAGATCTCAGTATTTGCTTGATAGTAATCTCTTGGAGATTTTCCTGATGTTATGTCTACAAAGTATTGCAGTTAGGAATTCATTCTGTTTCAAAGAGTTGCAGCTATTTTCTTTTTTTTAAGAAGTGAATTTTTGTGGCTTCTGCAAATTTAACTCTGCCATGAGCCCAGCTCATTAATAATAAATATTAGTGATAGATTTTTAGGTGCCTGTCTCAGTCATACTAGAATCACTGAATGCTCATTAATGAGGAGGCAGATCTGGATGATATATTTTTTAATAAGTAGTACTGAAGCAGAAACAATAAATGAAGCTCAACTTTAATAAAACAACAACAACACCTACTCAAGACTGTACCTATTATTTTAGCAATATCATACTTTGTCTATATAATTTTGAAGAATTAACTTGCAAATCTATCTCATTGTTAGTGGCAGAGAAATTTTTGCTAATTTCTATGATTGGCAGGAGAGGTCAACTTCTGTCCCATGAGCTGCATACTGTTTCCCACCTCCCACATTTTGTGGTTTCCACGGCTAAAACTGAACTTCCATGGAAGCATATAGAATTTTGTTGTTGTGACTTATTCACAAGCAAATATTCAAAATAGCTTTCCAGAATTATTTTTTAGCAAACATTGCTGCAAATGCCTGCCCTATTTCCTCAATAATATTCTATTAGCCAGGGAGAAAAGGAAGGAAGGAGTTACAACCCCTGACAAAATCTGAATTGCCTGACCATGACTCCACCATATTTTTGTTGGAAGAGACAATTCTAAATGAGAATATTATAGAAAACATTTCTAGTTTGAGGCTATGAAACATATCTTTTTCTTGCACTTTCACAGATGTGCATTTCCAGTTCAACATCTCATTTTGTTCCTTTTTTCTCCAATTATAAACCTAAGCCATAGTTCAAAAGTAGCTAATATGACAATCTTTCATATGTCCCTAGGGGCCATCTCTGTTTTCAATTATTTAAAGTTTAGGCTGTACAAATAACTGAAATCTCAGACCAAATAATTTCAAGATTTTGTGTTCATATGTCTTAAAAAGTGTTTATACCACCACAGACCTTATTTCACTAAAAAAGTTCCCAATTATTACACTTATTTGATAACTTCAACTTTGAAGAAACAGGTTTGTTCGTTGGTTTTTCCCCCATTATGAGTCAACAGTAGTAGAAGCAGCTGCTACCAATATACTATTACAGAGACCTAGTGAGCAGAATAAATGGAATGAGGGATTGATTTATTCCTCCCCAAACTATTATTCTGAATATTTATCATTCTAAACGTTCCTGTCATTTCTCATACATTAGACAGAATGCCAAAAGCTGCTTTACATATACTTGGTCTTTGGCACACCCCAAGGACTGGTTTTTTTAAAATATTATTGAATATCAGAACCCAGCTCCAATCTTATTCATGGCTTGGAAGTATCCAGATGATGATGATGATCCTTCAAATTTATAAGGCTGTTCATTTATCCAATGTAGTAATGAACATAAAATAAATACATCTTTATTTTTGTAAAATAAAAAAACATTAACAACACAAATTCAGGTTGACCTTCTCATTTAAAGATAAAGCACATTTCCCAAATTAACAGCCTGGCCTCAAAATCTGAGGAAAAAGTAAGTCCTTATAATATATTGGGGAAGAACTAGATCTTTATGGTAGATGTACCATGACCTAAAAAGTCTGATTACTAGACCTTATCAGGTGACATTGCCTCACAGAAAGGAGGTAGAGCAAAACCACTTAATCAGATCTGGTAGGACAAGCAAAAACTATTGGTCAAAAGTAATATTACCCCATGCCATGTAAGACTTTAAGGGTAACAACTAGCATTTTGAATTGCACCCACAAGCCTACTGCAAGCCAGTGTAGTTCATGCATCATGGTTGTTGAATCATGGTTGATTGGACAAACCATAATTGGATGAACTTACCTAAAATGTTAAATCTAAAACAACAAAAGTCATATTTTAGTTGGTGCAATGTGATATGAATGTGTGGGTGTGACATTCACATTGATGCCACATACATGAAAGAACATGACAGCGGCAGTGCATGGCATATATCTTCAGATATTGTATATCACTGTAATTGACTCTCTGTATATTGTTTTAAAAACCAAAAGCCTTAAATACTTCAGTTTAGGAATATCCAGAACACCATAGGTAAGGGCACCATCAGGAGAACAAATTGTTAAATGTGTATTGCAGCATCATGAAATGAAATCCACCTTGTTATCAGATACAAGAACTCCAAAAGGGTGATTTTTTTTTTTGCTTCTGTCTGTTACAGCTGAGGGATCCTCCCTATCTATTACTTCTGAAAGTCCTTCAGGACTTGATTATGCCAGCAGGTCTGGGGACCATTGGGGAATGACAAACTATCGTGGTGGCTCCATTACCATTATTAACATCCCTTCATCTATTGCTTCTTGTTTTAGCTTTGTTTTTATAGTTTTTAATGTTTTTTTAAATAATAATGATAATAATTTTCTTAGGTATTTCTTAATTGTTTTAATTTTGTTGCATGCCAGCCAGAGCCATATGTTTTGTGAGATGGGTAGCTATAAAAATTTTGGTTGTCTTAAAATGCATCAAGTAACCTACCAACTTTATAAAGAAATATATTAGTAATATGAAGGTTAAAGTTATCAAAAAACTAAGGAGAATCAATGATCAAATAAATGAAATAACAGGCAGCAGGATCCTTTCCAATCCTACCAGCTTTGGATCTAGATAAAAATAACTGAATATATGTTGAACTGGAGACATTTCTACTGTAATACTTTTCAACTTAGTCATATGCCAAAGTGTAACTATACTACGTGCAG